TGGTGGTCCTCTGGCTGTTAGAGCCCATCACTGTCTCAGCTGGGGCGGGGGCTGGCTGGGGGACAGCAGTGCCGTTCTGCTGCTGGTTCTGAGGGGTTTGTTTCTTGCTGGAACAGACTCAAAAGGTCTTGCAAAAAGGATTGCTTTGGAACAACCTTTTTAGAACCCTTTAGCAAAGGTCAAGTTTCTGATTGTAGTCTTTTTGTCAAATCAGAAATGATCCAAGAGTCTCAGACTGCAGAAATCTTGCTTCTGGGGAGTTTGTTGTAGTCTTTGCCTCCATGAAGCACTCTGACTTCAATGAAATTGTGTGGTATTTCTTTGGAGGTGCTCCAACCCTCTCTGCTTTAACCCCGGGGGGACTGGTAATCTCGGAATGGTGTTAGATGGTGTGCCTGTGATCTCATCCAGCCTTGGGTTGAGAGGTACTGCGGGAGGGGGCCATGGGTCTTTCTGGTTTTCCCTTTTGCTGTTCTCTGCCTAATGCCTTTCTCAAGAACCCCTTGAGCTTGATTAGAACCTCTTATTTCCGAAGTGTTTGCTTGAGTCTGTGGTGGTGTCCACAGGAGGTTTTAGGTCAGGCTTGTCCCAGCATTGCCGTTAGTAGTGAGCGGGTGTGTGATTACCAGCACACGCGATGTGCTTGGAGGGTGTTTGCAATGGCACCCTGGTCTCCTCACTTCCTGGACCGGCTGACGAAGGGCCAGGTGACTTTATGCTTGTTGCCTCACTCTGCCACGACCCGCCTTGTCTGTTGGGTGTTCGGGATCTTCAGGGCATGTCAGCACAGCTCAGGAGCCCGGGCTGTGCTCTTCCTGCCTATGTGCAAGTCAGGAGTTATCTGGGTTTCACAAGAGCTCTCCCCAGCATCTGACAGGAGGGAGGTGCGGCAGAGCTCCTTCCTTCCTGAATCGTCGTGACTCTGCTTTCCCAGCTTCTTCGTTGGCCCTTTCCTCCAACAGGGATAGCATGGCAGCAGTGTCAGCCAGCACCGAGGCGGAGAAGCTGTGGGGCAAGCAGGGAGATGGGGAAGCTGTGGGGCAGGCAGGCAGGCAGCCAGGAGGCTCTCCTGCCCCATCGGGAGGCAGGCACAGGCTCCACATTCCTGTGGCGATGTTGGGAATCTGCGTTATCGTCCTTCGGAGCATGATTCACCAGAAAGTCCTCCGGGAACGCAGCGGGGTTTCAGGTTTCTTGATCTATCAGCTAGCAATTCCGGGATTGCGAATATGTCAGCCCAGTCTCTCCTGGTCTGGAGCTTAGCCTCCCCCTCCGCTGCTGCTCAGACTGTACTGGAGGAGACTTACTGAAAGCAGTTTGTGGTGTTTTGTTTTGAGGTTTCTTGTCTGCGAAGGTCCCAGTCTTTGATTTAAAGATGTGGCTTTTCAGCTGTACGAGATGCAAATACCCTCTGCATTTAGATGCAGCGCTTCAGTGTTTGCTGTGCCTTGTAAGCCTCCCTCCCTGCCTGAGGTGAGGCTGGGTTGTCCCCCTGTTTAATGACGGGGAGATCGAGGCACCCAGAAACAGTACATCTTGCTTGGGGTCACTTGTGGAATCGGTGGCAGCCAGGGGTAGAAGCCAGGAGTCCTGGCTCCTTGCTTTAACCACTGGGAATTAAATTTGCTATTGTCTTTAAAACTACTGGGCTGGAGCGGTGGGTGTGTTGCTACATTGCAGAGGGAGCCAGATTTCTGTGCAGTCTCCTTTTTGTCATGTTCTTTTCAAGATGTTTTGGATCATTTGTCTCTCCGTGCCAGTGCATCTACTTTCTAATGGATTCTCTTCTGTGGCCCAGATGTGTGGCATGCCTGCTGGAATCTAGCTTGAATTTAGGGGCGTGTGCAGGGAACTTAGAGCAATCAAGATGCCTATCGGCATGGTGCAGCCAGACAGATGAGAGGCCGGGGTGGATCCCGCTATGCATCTGCAACAGAATCCAACTGTTGCTGCTCCCGAAAGCAGAGCAGAATCCACAGGCAGCTGCTTCTGGCATTTCTCCCATTGGGAACTGTGAGGGGAGAGCGGTCAGTCTCAGTGAAGACTGGAAGAGGAGGGCTTCTCGGGGTTTAGCCGGGGGCCCCATCAGCCTGCGGTGGCTTTCCCTCTAGAGCCTGGCTGAGTCAATGGCCGGGGTGCCCTCCCTGGAGCACCGGCCTACTCCCAAAATGAAGGAGGAAGATGGATGTCCCAAAAGCGTAACGTTCCAGAGGGATCTCGCAGCCGGTGAGGCTCATCCATGCTGCGGGCAGCGTCTAAAGGTTTCCTTGTGGCGGCTGCCAGGTCCTTTGGGATCAATGCATGTGACCCCTGCAATCTGACCTGGGAACTGCAGGGGTAGGGGCTGCATCTTGAGCGTTAGTCTCTGGACTCTGCAAGCATGGTCTTAGGGGGGCCCCGGTTTTGTTCCTCCCTACAGTATTCACATGCCTGTGCTACGCAGCACAAGGGATGCACATCGGTGCTGCTGAGCATCCACATCCTTGGTGCAGTACTTTGGGATCTGTTCTGAATGCAGATGTGTACGTTCAGATGTGCCACAGGCAGACCTGCGTCTCCCAGCCTGTTGTCGGTACGGGTGGCTGTCACAGCCCCTCCGGTGCTGGGCTGGCTGTGCCCTGGTGTCGGTGGGTCCATGCCCTGGTGTTGGTGGGTCCGTGCCCTGGTGTCGGTGGGTCTGTGACCCTTGGGACTGCGGCGCGATGCCTTGCACAGCCTGCGAGTGCGCGCAGCAGGCGGGGGCTCTGGGCCACCAGCAGCAGGAGCTGCTGCAGGGCTTGCTTTCTGGAATGCTGTCTGGCAGCAGCCTCTTCCAGCGGGGCTGAAGGCTCCCTGTGGCTAGCCAGCCAGCGGCTGCAGGCAGCGTGTGCACTTAACGCTGCAGCTTGTGCCATATGGACCTTCTCCTCCTCCCTGCTTGCCCTCTCCGTGTCTCCATCCCCACTTTGCTCCCCTCCCCCTGCGAGCGGTTTGACAGAGCAATTGGGCAGGCACTGGGACAGCAGCTCTGACATAAATCTCTCCTGGTGTGGAATAAGGGGTATAAATATCCAGAGAGTGATGTGATCTTTCCAGCTGCTATTAATAGGTCCCTGGAGAACAAGAGTGAGCGAGCGAGACTGGCTGACACTTAAAGGGCTAGCAACTCCCTTATGTGCCGTGAAAATTAATCAGCGCTGTGGCTCACCATCTTCCTCCAGGCTAGAGCAGAGCCCTCGCGAGGTGCATGGCGAGGAGGTGGAGGAGGCGGCGGAGGAGGAGGGAGCAGCTAACAGCTCGCTCGTTAGGAAGCGGTGATAGGCCAAGCTGGGCTGCTCATGGAGGATCCCACTCGCTCACCGGGACTGCCGGGGCGGGCAGTGCGGTGGACGGCGGGGTTGGTGCAGGCGGCTCTCAGCGTGTCAGCTCCGCTTGGCCTCGCAGGGAGGCAGGTGCCAAGGAGCCCTTTCTGCAGGCAGGGGACTCCCTGGCAAGGGATGACAACCTGCAGCCTGCACCTTGTGGTGATTGCTGTCTGTCGGGGATTATGGGTCTGCCAAGTGTGCTTTGCTCTTTGCTTCCGTGCCATCCAGGGCACGATGTTTTGTCCTAGAAGAGCAGGCACTTGGCTTTTGCCAGTGGTATGTCCCCAAGTGCGCCTTCGACAACCCAGGGCCAGTGCGTGTAGTGCTGCTGGGCTCTGGTGGCGCTGGTCAGAGATGCAGGGTTTGGCCTGGAGCTGGTGCTTCCTGTCCCTGGGCAGCAGAAGAAATCTGTGCACAGCATCTGGCCTGCGTGGTCCAGATGGGAGGAGGAGACCACAGGCCCAGGAACCCCCCATGTGCTGGGAAAGTTCTCAGCCTGTACATGGGAAAGGTTCTTGGCGGCACGCTAAGCGCTTGGCAGATGTAAGCAAATAGAGAGGCATACCTCAGCTTTTATGAACGTGAGGTTTGCTCTCCTCCTCCCGCACTCCCCGAGGACTAGGGAAGATGTGACAGGCAGTGGAGGTCTCTGCAGCTTCAGGGTCACTGGCTGGGGTGGTGAGGAGACTAGCAGAGGAACACGGGGCTCTGATGCAGGAAGAGTTACGTGTTCTAGGTGGAGAAAGCCGGGAGTAGTTCTCATGGGGTTGTGCATCTTTCCATACTGGCACTGTCTCCAAGGACTTGGTGGTGAATGCTGTTCAGGCCAGGGAAAGCTGGTGTGTAGGAGCCTGCAGCCCAGAGGCCGGGTGCTTTGCCCTAACCTCCTCTTCCCTGCACGCTCTGCCTCAGCCTGCGGGGCTATTCAGAAACCTGGGCTGGGTCTCCTGGCAGGAGAGCCTCACGCTGCTGTCCCAGCAGGCCTGTGGCACGTTGCATCATCCTGCTGGGCTGGATGCTGCCGTGGATGCTACCTCACCCAGGGCCTTGGAGCAGGAGCTGCAACTGTCCCTCAGGCCCCTGGGAGAGACAGGGATACTGCTTAGCTGAAGAGTGCCAACACTTCCTGGCCCTGCCCTTGCCTTGCAGCCCACCGCCTCCTTCTCCTCAGCAGCCTCAACCTTAGTCTTCCCGTGTCCCACACCAGCTTTCTCTTTATAGGCTTGCACCGTTTTCTCTCTGCTCTGTTGTCTCCCTTGTGTTTGGCAGAGCAGAATAAACTTACTTAGCTGCAGAAGGGGTCCCTGAAACCATCGGACACCAGATTTCTGTTCAGGGTCACAAAGTTGTCGGAGCTCTGGGATCTGCAGCACATCCCTGAGGATCCTTCTGCTTGCCAGAGGGCAGGCTGGCATGGAGCACCCTGTTCTCATCACGGCCTCAGCAGCAAGGGCTCTCGTGTCCATGCCTGCGCGTCAGAGCTCAAGCAGGCTCCATGCATGGCATGGGTGGGAGTTAGCTGCTTGTCTGTATGCAGCTGACTGTGGAGCGGGATCCTCTGCTTGCAGGGTTGTTGGCTGTTTCCCGGCAGGAGCGGCTCTGGGGCTGTGCCCGTGTGAGGAGCACCCACTCACCCGCTGCCCTCTTCTCCTGCAGGTTTCTGACCAAAGGGCCTGGGAGCTCCCTCCACTGGCGCTGTGGGAAGCTTTAGCCAATCCAATGCACCCTGACAACAAACTGCCCAGCCATGGCAAGGCAGGCAGCAGCGGTGCCCCGGCCCAGCACCACAACGTGAGCCAAGCACCCCCCTGCAACCTGGGCTCTAAGGGTGTGGGGGCAGGCAGCCATGGCGGCAAGGCCACTCAGATCTCCCCTGGCAACTCTGGACTGAAAAACAGCCAGAACACTGTCCCAAACTTCAGCTCCTTGAAGGGCAAGGTGAAACGGGAACGAAGCATCTCGGTGGACTCTGGAGAACAGCGAGAAGCCAGCACCCCTTCACAGGACACGGAATCAAAAGGTAATAGCTCTCCTAAACCTTGCCTCAGCACGTCCTACTTGTAGTTGCTCCAAGCGTCCTGGCAGGACCTGGGATGGGAGCAGCTGTGAGTATCTTGGGTTTCTGTGCTGCGGCTTCTGTCCGGGCTTGTTCTGGCTGCCTGTGTGCCTTTGCATCATTGCTCATCACATCCGTGGTTTTGGGACCAGAGTGGCTGAGCAGTGTCTTTACATTCCAGCCCCTAAACTGTTTGTTATGGAAAGAATCTGGGGCTCTGGTTTTCATGGGCTACTCAGGCCATCTAAGCAAGAGCATGGTTCACTGCAGCTGCACTGAGCACCCTGCTTTGTGATGTTCAGACATTCAGCTTGGGACCAAGTTGAGTTGTTTTCTGTCTCCTCACTGTTGGCAAAGAGCTGCTTTTGTGGTGTTCTTGCAGCTGCCCGACGACTCGGTCGTGGTTAGTGAGGAGGTGCTGTGAGGGTCGCTGTCTGAACAGTTCTGTGGTTTCACCAGCGACGGGTGACTCTTGTGTTACAGCACGTGGCTTCTGGAAAAGGGCTGAGTCAGTGCTTCCAAACCCTCTGGCTTCCCTGTCCTCACCAGCCTTCCCTGTAGCCTCTTGCGTTCAGCTAAGCTCTGTGCTCAACGGCTGCGTGGGATACTAGAGCATCTCAGAGGGGGGTTGTTGGAGCAGAAATCCCAGTGGGGCCCTCGGTTCCAACCAAGACTCACACCTGGTCCCCAGACGCAGAGCCGCTGTTCTGGCTCGTGCCCCTGAGCATTTGATTTCACAACCACATTTATCCATCCTGTGTCTGATCCCTTTCCCCCAGTGCCTGGGTGCCTTTAGCTACTTTCTCCCTTAGCTGCATCAGCCCCATCTGAAAAATGGAGGGAGGCAGGGAAGGCCCCTGCCCCACTGATGTGTGCAAAGGGCAGAGTCTGTCTCTTCTTCCTACAAAGGATGCGAATGTGCCCTGCTGTTCCATTTCCAGGTTTAATTGCTGATCCACAGACACCTTACTTTTAGGGTTAGTGCCCAAAGCTCTCTGGTTTGGAACATCAGTTGGACATGGCCTGGTTTTGCAGACTCTTTTCAGACAGTAAGGAATCTGTATCGTTTGAGCCATAGCTCTCACAGGGCAGTCTCACCAGGTCTGGCTGCTAAGACAGGGAGCCCAGACCTAGCAGATGCTTCAGGATCTTTACCACGGCTGGGCAGATACCAGCATAAGGCATCTTGCCCAGTGCATCCTGGCTGGGTTGGTAGGGCCAGCATGCAGCATGCAGTCATCCCAGCCCCTGCCAGGTCTCCTCAGCTCTTCTGATGACTCCGTCCTGTTGCAGGTGAGGTGGCTCCCCGTAGCAAGCGACGGTGTGTGCTGGAAAGGAAGCAGCCATACAGTGGGGACGAATGGTGCTCTGGACCGGACAGTGAGGAAGACGACAAGCCCATCAGCAGTGCACACAGTGAGTGTCTACCTCCTTACCAGCTCAAAAGCTTGAATGAAGCCAGATCCTGCAGCTCAGCAGGGCAGATGGCACTGGCACCTCTAGCTTTGCCTCTGTGTGCTGATTTAGCTGGCTGTGTGATGTGGTGGGCCATTGCAGTTGCTGGTGGTTGTGCTGGGAGAATGTTTCCGGCCATGCAGGGAAGTGCAGGACCTATTTTGTGGCGATGGTACTGAGATCCTGGAGGAGAAGGTGTTGAGGTGGAATGTCCCTGTTGTACCTGGCCCTAGCCACACTGGTAGCAGAATTGCCATCTTGAAAGTGTGCCTGGCTAAACTCTGGTTAAGTGAGCTTACCCTGGTCATAGGGGCAGCCGGACCACGCGACACGCGTTGTACTTGTTGCAGCAGTTAGGTCTGTGCCAGGCCACGCATTCAGCTGTGCTTTTAAGGTAACTGAGTGTAAAGAGTCTCTCAGGGTCTTGACAGGGGTTGAGGCAGGGCTGAGCTGGACAAGGTGTGCACCGTTTGGGCCAATGAACTGTAGGTGTCTCCTGTTTCCCAAGATCATCAAAACTCTTTGACTTTTATTTTTTGTGTCTAGAATTTGGTTTATGTTCAAATTGCAACAGGGAGAATATCTGAGGGAATAGGGCAAGATCATTTGGGGCCCAGGGGCTGCAGCTGATGGAGAACATGGAAATGTATAAAATCAAGTACAGGGTGGCCTTTGTGCCTGCCAGCATACCGTAGCCATCCTCTTCAGGATGTTCTCTTATGCTTCTCTGTGGTCTGCAGCCCTTGTGGGAAGGTACAGTGCTGCCTCCCTGTCACTGCCTGCCTCGAGGTGGGCCTTGGAACAGGTTAGAGCAGGTCGAGGTGAGGGTGTCCAGGGGCGAGAGCTGGCAGCGAGGCAGTGTGCGTGTCCCCATGTCACATTTCCAGTGGTGTCTCTTCCCTTTAAACGCCGCAGTGCCGGGGCTGGGCTGTGGTGCTGGTGCTCCCAGGTCTGCTGCTGGAGGGGGAGCAAGGCAGCCTGCCCTGGGGGAACAGAACGGTGTGTGAGGAGGGAGACAAGAGGAAGGCAGGGCGCGCTGCTGGTAATTGCAACGCTTGTTAATATTAATTAGGGCTATTATTTAATACGGGTGATGACTAACGCGGCTCCAGCACCCCCGGTGCCCGTCCCGCGGGCACGCACGGCCGGAGAGCCTCGGGCCGTGCTGGGGACCAGGAGGCGGCGGCCCCTCGGCGCCGGGGATGGCCGGGCGGGTGCTGCCACCTGCCGCCGGGCGGCGGCTTTCACCCGGCGCGGCCTCGGCAGCTTCGCTCCCGTTTCTCCTCCCGCAGACTGTAATGTAGCAGATCCTGCGATGTCCACGGCCTCACAGCTTGGCCCAGGGTCCAACCCGCTGCCGAACCTGAACGAGACCAGCTCCTCCAGCGTGCCTCATGCTGCTGCGCCCGGCTTGCGGTCCGACGCTGCAGGCGGCGGGCCGGGAAAGCTGCCCTCACAGTTCGTTTACGTCTTCACAACACACCTCGCTAACACGTAAGTAGAAAACCTCGTCTGTCCTCTGGGGATGGGCAAACTCCGTCTTAAACACACGCTTCCTCCCAGCAACGCCCGGCACTGTGCCCTGCCCTGCATGGCTGTAGAGCATGTCTAGTCAGCATCCAGCTGAAAAATTCACCCAAACCATCATGGAGTGACTTGGAAGAGCTAAGGGGCTGAGTGTCACAGGGGGTGCCCTGTAACACTCGATGCTCTCCACTCAATTCCTCTCTTCTGTTCCACATTGTCTGAACATTGGAATCCTACTGAGGCTGCTTAGGTTTAGAGCTCTTCTACAACACAGGTTTGGTGCAGTAGATCCCAGAGCGTCTCGGTGACGGCCACCTTAGGGCAGCAGGCACAAGGCAGAGCCCAGTGCCCATTACATGGGACATGGGAAGAGGGAAATTCCAGGGCAAGAGGTTATCAGTTGGAGAGCCTCACTGCAGCCTGTGTGTGACAGGGGGAGGACTCTGAGAGTATCACCCTACTTGGTGACTTCCAGAGATTTCCCGCAGGACCGAAGAGTGGACGTGGCCACTGGGGCTGGTACGGGTGGGATAGGGGCGCAGTGCCCCTTCTCCAGTGGTTTGTGCTCTCTCCCCAGAGCTGCAGAAGCTGTCCTGCAGGGCCGAGCTGACTCCATTCTGGCCTACCATCAGCAGAACGTTCCACGAGCAAAACTAGACCAGGTAAATGGGCTATGAACCAATGCCTCTGTCGGCACATGCTGCTGACCCTTCCCTTCTGAGGTGGCCGTTCTCCCCCAGCTCCTGGCTCAGCTGCGGAGGAAGGGGTTGCCCTTTTGGTGGGGTGGGAAGCTGCTTTGCTGTGGAACCTCATCAGAGTTCTTCTGTCAGCGGTGGAAAGTGTACACACCTGGCTTTGCATTTCCACAGCATGTGTAATGGCAGCTGAGTCTTCCCCACAGGGAATGAAGGGGAATTGCCACAGGGCATGTTTTTGCCACAGAGAGGTCTCCAGCAGGGTGGTGGGGAGCATTACCTACTTAGGGTTTTCCTGCTCAGGTTTATTTCCCTCTTCTCTGCTAGGCACCAGCTCCTAAAGTGCTGGGGGTTGCCGAGCCACTTCCCATTAACCCTCCTGCTGCCAACACTCCACAGTCCCAGCCACCACCGGCACCTCAAGCGAGTCAGCCGCAGGCACAGCCCGCCCCGCCGCAGCCCCCATCTCAGACCATGAGTCAGACCCCTCTGCCTGCACCCAGCAGCCTGCCCCAGGAAGGGTCAAGTGAAGATGTCCGGAGGGATCTGACTCCCAACTCTCTGGGGAACAACAGTGGCAGCAACCAGCCTGGAAGCAACCACCCAAACACACCCACCGCATCTGCCACCACCATGCAGCCCGGGCAGGTGGACTCCTCCACCGCGTCCGGCTCCAGCCTCCTTGGTGAGGGCCCGGGCACGGGGATGCCGGGGAACGGGCAGGCAGGTCTGGGCCCCAGGAACCCCATGAACTCGGAGGGCCTCTCGAAGGAGCAGCTGGAGCACCGAGAGCGTTCTCTGCAGACCCTGCGGGACATTGAGCGCCTGCTGCTGCGCAGTGGGGAGACCGAGCCCTTCATGAAGTCCAGCCAGAACGCGGGTGAGGGTGGGACTGCCCCTCAGCCACAGGCTGCCCCTGCCCAGCCCCCCGCACCCCCCACCGGCATGAAGAAGTATGAGGAGCCTCTGCAGTCCATGATCTCCCAGACCCAGAGCCTCGGTGGGCCCAGCCTGGAACACGAGGTTCCCCACCATCCAGGTGCTGACATGGGGCAGCAGATGAACATGATGATGCAGCGGCTGAACCAGGACAGCCTGACACCGGAGCAAGTGGCCTGGAGGAAGCTGCAGGAGGAGTACTATGAGGAAAAGCGACGGAAAGAGGAGCAGATCAGCATCCATGGCCGGCCCATGCAGGAGATAATGATCCCGCAGTCGATGGGGAGCATGATGATGCGTGGGCCCCCACCACCCTACCACAGCAAGCCTGGAGAGCAGTGGCCTCCTGGGATGGGCAGCCAGCTGAGGGGACCCATAGATGTGCAGGACCCAATGCAGCTGCGGGGAGGGCCACCCTTCCCGGGGCCACGGTTCCCTGGAAATCAAATGCAGAGAGTCTCTGGCTTCGGAGGGATGCAGAACATGCCCTTGGATGCTCTTGGGCCCATGAGTGCCATGCAGAGGCCAGTCAGGCCCGGCATGGGATGGAACGACGATATGCCTCCTATGGGAGGCCCCGGGAACTTTCCGCAAGGTACCCTGCCCTATCCGGCAGGGCAGGGGGACCCCGAAAGGTTCATGAATCCCCGTGCCAGGGAGGAGATGCTGCGGCATCAGCTGATGGAGAAACGCCCAGTGGCGATGCAGAGGCCCATGGGGATGTCCGGCAACGCCATGAGCCAGGGCATGGAAATGGAGAGGATGATCCAGGCCCACCGGCAGATGGATCCATCCATGTTTGCTGGGCAGATAACAGGGGACAGCCTGAGCAGTGCCCCGATGGGAATGGATTTTGCAGGCACTCGGGGCATGCTGAGCCCCCCTGTGAGTCAGTCGGGCCTTCGGGACATGGATGCACCCATGGGCCCCGGCAACCTCAACATGAACATGAATGTCAACATGAACATGAACATGAACCTCAACGTCCAGATGACCCCGCAGCAACAGATGATGATGTCGCAGAAGATGAGGGGCCCCGACATGATGGCCCACCAGGGCATGAGCCCTGAGGAGCTGGCCAGGGCCAGGGCTCAGAATGGCAATGGCAGCACAATGCTGGGGGGACCCCAGAAAATGATGATTCCTTCCCAGTTCCCCAACCAAGGACAGCAAGGCTTCTCCAGTGGGCAAGGGCCTTACCCCAACATGCCCCAGGAGATGGGCAGCGGCTCGGACATGTTCAGCCCTGAGCAGGGTGCCATGCCTGTTGGGAGCATCAGCGGCACCACCAGGCTCAGCCACATCCCTCTGCCTCCAGCCTCCAATCCCGCTCCCACGCAAGGGGGGAACCTGGCCAGCATGCACCCAGCACCGTCCCGGGGGCTGGGCCGCCGGCCCTCTGACCTCAGCATCAACATTAGCCAGATGAACTCCCCCAGCATGGGTCACCTCAAGTCTCCCACCCTCAGCCAGGTGCACTCACCACTGGTCACCTCCCCTTCTGCCAACCTCAAGTCCCCGCAGACACCCTCGCAGATGGTCAGCATGCCGCCTTCAAACCAGTCTGGACCCCTCAAGTCCCCCCAGGTGATGAGCTCCTCCCTGAACGTCCGGTCTCCAACTGGCTCACCAAGCCGCCTGAAGTCCCCTTCCATGGCTGTTCCTTCCCCTGGTTGGGTGCCGTCTCCCAAAGCCACCATGCCCAGCCCAGGAGTCAACCAGAGCAAGCAGAGTCTCAGCATGAACTCGTCTACTTCCATGGGAGGACTGGATCAGGGTATGCCAGATTTCTTATGTGTGTGCTCCGTTCTGGGGAACATGTGGGCAGGGTTCCCCTCCAGGCCATGTGTTCTCGCAGGAGCAGGGAGACGCTCGTCCTGGTGTGTGCCCTTGTGTCTCATGGAGTTGGTGTCTTTTCCAGGAGTCCACCCAGGGCCTTTGCAGGTAGATGGGAGGGTGAACAGAGCAGCTTTTACTTCAACCCCAGCTCACGAGCTGTGATACTGGCAGCAAAACATGAGCCAGTGCTGGGCGGTCAGTTTAAAGTAAAGATCGTTGCTGCTCTGGAGCAGGGTCTCCACATGAGTGACCCTGGGTCAGGAGGATGTCTGTCAGACACTCAGGGTCTGGAGGATGCCAGGCCATGCCAGCTCTGCATTTTGCAACCTTCTCTGGTCACTGCTCCTGGAAGGAGGGGCCGGGGTTGCTGTCTGATGGGAGCAAGGCACGGTGTGCAGGAGGTGCTAAGCTGCTTTCTCTCTTGCTTGCAGGTTCACTCCCTTCTGGGCCTCGGAGCAGCTCTTCCGCACCAGCCACTAACACCTCTAGCACCATGAATCCCAACATGCCTTTTACTTCCTCTCCAGATCCATCCCCCTCCCAGAACCCCCTCTCACTGATGATGTCCCAGATGTCCAAGTATGCCATGCCCAGCTCCACACCGCTTTACCACAACGCCATCAAAACCATCGCCACCTCTGATGACGAGCTGCTGCCGGACAGGCCTATGCTTCCACCTGGGAGTATGTCAGGTACGTGCTTCTGGGGCTGGACTTGTCCCAGAAGGGGTCACACCGTCTTGTGGCTGCCAGGGGCCGGAGGCGCCAGGTAGAGGAAGCAGTAGGAAAGGCGTTCTCCCACCAACTGCCATGTCAAATAGCTTAAATTTGCCCTCATTCGGAAGAGTGCTCACTTCTTTGTCCTGTACCCAGGCTGCCCATCAGCTTTTGGCTTGGGTTTGCTGTCTGGAAGAACTTGAGCCCATCTGGCATTGGAGGCACCCTTTTTCCATGAGCCCTGGAACATTTTGGAACTACCTTCACCCTGTGCAGACAGGTCGGCCCTGGATTTTCAGGGCTTCTGGATTGTCTCAGGCCCAGGACTCGCAGGCAGAGGTCTGCTGCTCGGAGCCTTTGTGCTCTTGTGCAGTGGGATGGAGACACTCTGAACAAGGTGTGGGAGTGGGGGGTTTTGGTGGAGTGCAGGTGCCTGCACGGGCAAGGCTGTCATAGCATAGTTCTGATCTCAGTAGGCGACAGCCAGACATGCTCCGCTGGCTGGCAGCACTGCTGGGGACAGCTAGGCAAATGAGCGCTTTGCGTCATTGGTGACCAGCCCGAAGGGGAATTCCAGCATGTTGTACGACTTGATTTAGGGCTTTAAAGCTGTCTGATAAATATTTTTGGCAGTTTTCAAAATGAAAAATCAACTTTTTGACTCTTTCACTGCAGAGTAGTCACTTGGGTTGACCTCAGGCATGCAAATGTGCTGGCTCCTTCCTAACCTGACCCCCTCTGAAGGCACGGGTCACTCTGCTGTGCCAGTGAGCACAGTCCTCCCTCCTGGACAGCACCTGGGTCAGGCTGCAGACTCTTTTGCTTCTTTGTCTTCTCGCCACCCAAGATCATGTGGTCACAAGAGCTTGCCGGGTGGCTACCTCTGCGGCAGGCAGTGAAGGGTCACTGCTTGGTGCCTTGCAGGGAGCTGACAGCCCTGCTGAGATCATGGGGCAGGACTGTCTCAGCGTGCCCAGACTCTAAAATCAGTGGGCTGTGAGGAGCTACAGCTCCATCCTGGGACCTGCTGAAGCTGGAACAGCTCTCTGCTGCTCCCAGGCTTGAGGAGCTGAATTCTGAGGCACTTTTTACTGATGCTGGTGCTTTGTGAGCCCACCTTGCGGGTTCTAGCTGAGCATCACGCTCCATGCTCAGGGCTTTCTGAGCAGGAACGCTAGGCAGTCATCCGGGGTGTGGATTTCGCAGTCCCAAGAGGTCTGTGGGCAGAGTTAACCCTTCTTTCTCTCTTTTTTCCCTCTCCTTAGGTGTGACGGGAAACCAGCCAAATCAACTGCACTTGAACTCCGTGGGGCCTGGATCCTCTCAGAGCCCTATGGGAATGAACCTGCCTGGTCAGCAACTGCTCTCCCATGAGCCACCCCCCACCTCCATGATGTCCTCCCCAAACCCTCTGGGCTCCAACATTCCTATGCACCCGAGCGCGCCAGGGCCAGGCGTGCCTCCCCAGAACCCCATGATGCTGCCCCCAGGGCCGCAGGACTCGATGAACCAGCAGTGCGGCCCCGTGCCCAACAGTTCACAGATGATCCCTTCCAACCAGCTCGTGTTCCCCCGCATGCAGCAGCCCCACAACGCCATGCCATCTCCCGCCGGGGGCATGCCCATGGCCCCTGGTGGTGGAGGTGGCCCTGGGATGCAGCAGCATTACCCACCAGGGATGCCCTTGCCACCTGAGGACCTGCCCTCCCAGCAGCCTGGCCAGATGCCCCCTCAGCAGCACATGATGGGGAAGAACATCCCTCCTCGCATCGGCGAGCCCTACCCAGCCGTGCTTCCTGGGGTGGCGTCGGTGCTGAACGACCCCGAGCTCAGCGAGGTGATCCGCCCCACGCCCACCGGCATCCCCGAGTTTGACCTGTCCAGGATCATCCCATCGGAGAAGCCAAGCAGCACCTTGCAGTATTTCCCCAAGAGCGACAGCCAAGCACCCAAATCACAGCCTTCCAACCTCCATCTCATGAACCTGCAGAACATGATGGCTGAGCAGCCCCCGGTGCGGCCAGGTATGAATGCCCCCAGCCTCCCTGGGCAGCAGGGTGTGCAGAGGGGACTCGGCATGCCCATGTGTCATCCTGGACAAGTGCCCATGCTGGGCAGGACAGGCATACCGCCCCAGCAAGGTATGATGGGCAACAGCATGCACCAGGGCATGATGTCCCCACAACAGAGCCTGATGGCCCAGCAGAATTTCATGCTGATGCAGGCCAAGCAGAGGAGCATGTCTGTGTCGGGGGAGATGTATGCCCAGACAGGACACATGATGTCACCTCAGGGCTCCCTCATGGGGCCCCCGCCTCAGCAGAACCTCATGGTCACGCACCAGATGAGGCAGAGGAGTGTCTCCTTGGACAGCCAGATGAGTTACATCCCCGGGCCCGGGAACATGGCAAACCTGCCTTTCTAACCCGGCCGGCGCTCAGCTGGGGAGGGGACAGGGCTGCCTCTGCAGACATTTTTAAACCTTTCTGGGGGGACAGTTGGGGGCCAACGCCGGTGGAGGACACCACGTGGGATGCTTTTCAGATCGGATTCGCCTCTACACAGAAAACCAGATGTGCAGTAAACTTGATGTGAATTGGGTTTCTTTTTCCTTTCTTTGTAGGGAAGGGGAGGGTGGAGGGGCTGGGAGCAGGGCTGTCACACTGAGCCCTGCGTGGTGACCAGGGACATCCAGACCCAGTGGCAGTTTGTAAAGTTTTCAGTTTTGGTTTTCCTCTGTCAAGTGTTCTTCCTCCCCTCCCCCCCCCCCCATTTTTCCTTTTTTCTTTTCTTTTTTTTTAATTTTTTGTTTCTTTTCCTTTTTTTTTTTCTTTTTTCCTTTGTAAACAAACAAAATGTGCAAGAGGGTTTTTGGAACTAGCTGTAAATAGGTCGCTGGGAAAGGCAAAACTTGTGCTGGTTTTTAATTGTTCTGTATTTCTGTGTTTTAATAGAAGCCTCAAAACATGTTTTAAAAAAACAAACAAACAAAAAAAACATGCTAAAGGCAACAGTGTACAAGGATTGAAAACTCTCCTGAGAGGCAGCAGGAGGATCCCCCAGGGTGCACAGGGCATTGAGAGATCCCATTGTAGAGTGACTGTGTCAAACCTAAGTTGTTCCCGTGTCCCAAAGGTTTGCATGTGCAGGGTGTATGGCTTCATGCAGATCCCAGGCCCTTGCGGATGCTGTGCTGAGCACACGGCCGCGGCCAACGACTGAGGCCTCTTGGGGAGGTCAGAGCTGTGGCCACGGTGAAGCACTGCTGGAGCAGCCTCCCAGGATTTGGCTGTTGCTGCTCTGTGGTGAAGCTGCTGTGGCTGAGCTGGGGACGGTGCTGGCTCTTGGGCTGGAGAAGCGGTGAGGATCTGGGTTGTGCAGGTGGTTAACGTGCCGGACCCGAAGGTCTCGACCAGCCGCGTCACCTCCAGTCCCTTCTCTTCGTGCTGTGTCACCTGTGGGCAGGGGGTTGCGGTGTGTAGGGACACATGGGCTCCGAGATGAGTGAGGTGAAGCGTTCCTGTGCTTCCAGGAGAGGTGAGTTGAGAACCCTGCTCTGCTGCAGCCTTCCTACACCAGTCCTTTACCAGTCTGTTGCCCTCCGTGACTGTGCTGCGCCTCCTCTACCTCTGCCATTGAGTGCTCTCCCAAGTCTTCCTCATGCTTGTCAGTGATCCATCTCCAGAGTTTCACAGGCAGTCTTTGCTCCACCTTGCCCTGAGCTACTGGCAGCAGCCCTGCTCTGCTGCGCAGTAGAGGTCCAGCCACTGGTGAGGATCTGTCCCTGTGTGTGATGCTCCATCTCGGTGTAAGAGTTGTCTCGTACGGTGCCAGTGGTGCAGCCCCCCCATGCTTCGGGCAGAAGAGGTTGTGTTGTGGCCTCGTTCTCAGGCTGGCAGAAGCAGTTCAAACGAGTCCAGCTGCTCTGGATGTGCTCCACCCTCCCTGTCCTCTGCTCTGTAAGGTCTTCCTGCCCACGGTGCTGATGGTCCCCCCGTGTTTGCTCAGAGGGGACCGCAGGGTGACATGTGTGCACTTCTGCATGCACCACGGTATCTCTGGACCTCTGCAGAGACCTCTGCGGGTTCCAGCATGGAGTACCCTATGGGTATCCGGCAGTGTGCTCAGGGCAGGCGACTGCTGGGGGAACACGCACTGGAGGGTTGTCTCTGTAGAGCCAGACTTAGCATACTACCTCTCTTGTAACAGAGCTCACATTTCCCTACGTGCTACTGCAGGGAGGGGAGCGCTTTCAGAAAGGGAGATTGTCAAGTAGCAAGCAAATGGCAGGCCTTTTATCACGTTACAAGCTGTTGAGGAGGGCTGGAGGCTGTCTTGATCTGATCTGTGAAACAATGGAGCCACAAAGTCCAGTTAGGAATACCTTGAAGTCTTGGGTGTTTTGTAGCAAGCAGTGGATTTGAGGAAGGCTTTCGCTCTGGTCTCCAGCTTGGTGTGGTTTTATTGTATACAGTGTGAGCGCACAGCCTTTTCAGAGATGGCAAAATGGGAACAATCCTGGGAGGTGCTCATCCCTGCCGTGGCAGTTGGAGTGGAGGAATAAACCCCAGGCTAACGAAGTGTGCTTTGGACCTGGGGTGATAGCTGGTCGGATTCTCTATCCGTTCAGAACATGCGTTTCACATGGGAGGATGTGGCTTTAGCAGATGCAGCTCTTTCTAAGCCTGACTTGCCTGAAAGGCCGTGGCTTCTCTTGGCTGCACTTCGGGGTGATGGCTGCCCGTATTTTCTTGTAAACATCCCAATAGCAGTGCCAGCCCCAAACCTTGCTCATCATCCACCAGCTAGTCTCGGTTAATTTGAAGCCATACTTTTTTCTATACGGAAGCTTTTTGTTTGTAGACAACTGTTGTTTTAGCCTGGTTGAGATCTCCACGTGTCTGTACCGTCCCTGTTGCTGGCTGAACATCCGATGGGAGAAGAAGTGCTGCCTAACACCCCTCTGCGCCATGGCCGCTCCCGGCCGCATCTGTGAACAGCAATATGGCAGGAGCTTCTCAAGAAGCTCACTGACAGCCAGTCCTTGTTAGACCCAGGCCAGGTTTGCCACCAGCCGGTTGCCCACTGCCGTGAGCTGTGTCTAGTCTCGTGTCTTGTAGTTTATTGCTCGGCTTCTTGGCTTGAGTTCTGTGTCCTGACTCCACCTAATCACAGTAAAAGGTTTGCCCATGTTTTAGCCATGATTTCGCCACGTTTTCCAGCTCCAAAAAAAGTGACTGCTGGGAAACCGCATCTTTCAGTATGTCAGATAATCACACGCCCAGAAGTAGCTTTCACGTTGAGGTAATGGTGACTGACCTGTTCTCTGTCATCCCATGGAGAAACTTCCCCAGTCATTTTGTACCATTATATAAATATATATATAAATATAAATATATAAATACAATATGTGAAGACATCTTACTGGTTTTTATTTGAAACAATTTTTAGGCTTGTTTTTGGGTATCTGTGCTGCCTGTAATGTATTGACCTGTTTTATAGGTGCCTTTTTATTAAAAAGACAAATTTCAAAACCTGACCCTGTGCCTATCTTCAGCGGCCGTGGGATTGTCTGTGCCACTGGAGCGGATGAGCAGAGCTGAGCTCAGCCAGCATCACCTGCAGCATGTCACAGCAGGGCCGGGGCTTTCAGAGCCGCGGGGAGAGCCCCTTCTCTGCAGCACTCCCAGGTACACGCTCATTCATACTCTCCCCGGTGCACGCTCTGCTGCCCACCATGGTGCGTGCATAGCAGGATGCTCTGCTGCTGCACCCCAGCTGCATCCCCTGGGAGGCCGTGGTGCCCCGCAGGAACTGCGGAGCAGCGTGCTGTTGTGGGGGTCTTTGTCTCCCCCTACTTGGGGTCGCTTCACTGGGGACCAGGGCTTTCTCTGCTCCTCAGGAAGGGTCTGCCAGCTCTGAGCCAAGCCTTGCCCAGGCTGGCTGGGCCGAAAGCGGGCATGAGGGTGGCTTTCCACCGTGGCAGGAGGTGCTGTACTCAGTGGGAGAGGCTCTGTAAAGCAGGAAGTAACTAGGGTCTGGACTGACTCCGAGCACGGCAGAGCTGTCTGCAGCGCTGGTAAAGGGAAATCTGAGGAAGTTGAGCTCTGTGGTCTTCATGTGCAAACAGCAACGCATGTCACAAAGGTGCCATCAACCCACTTAGTGCTCTCTAGTGCATTTCACGTGTGAAAGTGGTATGATGACAGACAACTGCTTACAAGCACTATACATGAGAAGGGGGTATTTTATTTAACTGCTTGTTACAGCCTACCTCAAAACTTCCTAAAAGTTTCCCAAGACATCAGTACTAAAACCTATAGTAAGAATAGATGTGTAACCCATTCACTCTTACTTTGCCTGCAGATTTCCTTGTTACCTCGTGAACACTGGGAGAATTTGACACTGTGGCTGTTCATTTTGCCAGTAACTTTATTGTGTAGAAACACAGTTCCCATCAGAACCAGGGCTGGGGAGGTGTTTATAATGTGTCTGCAATGGGTTTGCTCACAGGTAGGACTGTGGACCTAGACAGCAAGGGCAGGCTTCAGAGAGCTGCTCTGCTGCTGCTGCTGCGCATACGTGCTTGGGTAACTACGGTCACCATTAGCTGCAGGTTTTGGCTTTGAAGATGCAGTGCTGCAGGAAGCGGTGGAGGGCTCTTTGTGTAAAAGCCTTACGCTTGGTGAGTTTTGTCCTCGAGTCACAAGTTGAGAACGAGATCTCTGCCTGAGCTGGACTGATGTAACATGACCTCTTCCGTAATGACTGGTCTTCTTAGCAGAGCCCTTGGGTACAGGGAAGTTCGGCTGCAGCCGAGCCCTTTGTTAGTGGGTTGAACTTCAGAACTGAGTTTCGCACAAAATTGCTGCTGCAAGAGAACTGACATTGTTTCCACTTTGCTTAAATGGTGAATGGCAGAGCACTGTGTACCTGTGCCATTGGAGGGAGTTCTGCATCCCCCAAGTGTCTTGTTCCAGTTGCCGTAGCCAGTGGGTGGCCGCTGCCTCCTTTGGGCACGTCTCTACCAACCCAAGCCAGCAAAGTAGACACCCACTGAGCTTTTGTCCTCAGTCCATGGACTTGGCTGCATTTCTTTCCTTGCCTCTAGTACCCCAGCCTTGTGCCTGGCTCCATGCAGAGGATGCCTGCAGTCAGTGAGGAACAGGTGAAAATGTCAGGTTCAGCCTACTCGGGTTCATCTGGCCCTGCCAGACTGACCACTGGACAGAGTGTTCACCGACTGGATGGATTTCTAGAGGTGTGAGAACCAGGAGGAGCCAGGTAAAAGTGTTTGGTGGGATCTGGGTGTTGGGTGGCTGTTGGACCTCGGTTTCCTGAGGACTGGAGAAAGTGGTGGGACGCTTGTGAAACTTGGGACTGAGGCCACACGCGTGCCACTGGGAAGGCAAGCCCCTGCAGGCAGCTCTTCCCAGCTAGAAAGCGGAGATAGAGGTGGTGTTGTCAGACTCGATCCCGCTGCCCTTCCTCGTCACCTCCAGGATCTCCTGCAGGGTCTCATGGCTTATGCAGCCAAGCTCCTGCAGGATCCGGAAGAAGTCGTTACGGAACTTGACTCCAATGAAGGCATAGAGGATGGGGTTTAGGCAGCAGTGCGTGAACCCGATGGCCTCTGTCACCATGATGGCCATATCCAGCTGGTCTTCCAGGAGGCAGTTCTTGGTGAAGGCTTCTAGCTTGGTAAGCGTGTTCAGGAAAATGACAATGTGGTACGGGCTCCAGCAGAGCAGGAAGACGCCCGTGACCAGGATGGCCACACGGACAGCCTTCTGCCTCTGCAGGCGCTGGGACTGACACAGAGCCCGGACAATGGCCACGTAGCAGTAACACATGACCAGCAGGGGCAAGAAGAAGCCCACAGCATGGTAGAGGAAACGGGTTGCCAGCCAGGCGTTGTTGCCATCAA